TTACGTGTGTGTGTTGCCTTCTAAAGAAGCGTACAACAAAGGATAAACTGTCTCACCTATCATGAGACGACATGAATAGTTCATGCCTGGCAGTTGGTCTGTCAGCAGCAGCAATAGCCAAACCGGTCTGACGGGTGAGCGAGCCTCCGTTACGCTTGCTGGAGTATTAAGTTATGCACATGGTTTCTGCCCGTGTCCCTCCATGCCCCGCTGTGGTTTAATAATGACGATGATTGTATTTATAAAGCACCTTTCATCAAGGATCTCAAAACTCTCGACAAGACACGGCTGCAGAAGACACTCGACATGGCAATAACTCGTGAAACTAAAAACTAAGAAACGAAAAAACAATCACATTTCATGCTACACAAACCATTTGTGGAATTGGCTACAAATTGCATGCCCGAAATGTGTATGGATATGTTTTAAGACGACCTTTAAAAATGTCCACAGACTCAGGGATCCAGATATCAGAATCGGTATCTTTATTTATGCTGGAGGAATCCGATGAGCTCAAAAGCATTTTTTCACAGATGTCCAGTTGTTTCACAAATGTCATTGAATAGCGGAGGAACATGCTCTGTTCTGCAGAAGCATTATATTTCTTCTCTTTTAATGCCCCCATGATCTGAAATTTCCTCCTCCCCTACCCCACACCCTGCCATCCGTGCTGTCGGCTCCCTGCCCATGTCCAAGTCCAGGCTCAAGATGCGTTCTCTCCCTTTCTCTTTACTAACTAAAAGTGCCCGTCGGCGGTTTTGTGCGGCATTGCTGAGATGCGCTCGCACTCCTGCTCTTTATAAAGGCATTCTTCGATTGTGCTTGTCGAGGCACTTGCTCCGAGAGTTGCCGCCCTATTGTTCATGAGCACAATGTCAGATGTTAACTCTCTCGCCTGGTATACAGGAGGTCGTTGTTTGGATTCCGACCCTGACGCCAGTATATTTGGAATTGGTATGTTCTCCCTGTGGCCGTGTCGATTTTTTAATCCAGGTCCCCTGGTTTTTCCCTCCACATTTGGAATTAACATCACGCTTTTCGTGTATTTGGCTGCTATACATTTCCACGTGATAAGCCACTTCGTTGGGATGTCATTTGTGGCCAGGTCGCTTCTTAAAAATAGCTATACAGCTTTGATTTGAAGCTTTCGTGATTGCAGGAATCCATACTCTTTGGTTCTTTCGGAAAAGTCACGTAGGTATAAAATAAAATAAATCACGACCTTTCGGGCGCAACACAAGCGTCCATCATCAGGTGGGAAAGCATGGTCTGCTGCTGAGGCAGCTACACCCATTTCAAACCTTTTAAAACGTTCTGTCTCAGCAGCAGACCATGCTTCCCACCTGATGATGGACGATTGTGTTGCGCCCGAAACGTCGTGATTTATTTTATTTTATACCTACGTGACTTTACCGAAAGAACCAAAGAGTATAGCTATATAGTCGAGTGGGCCTTACCTGGTAAGATAAATAAAAGTTTAGAAGTTTAGTTTCATACCTCCCGTCTGGCCAGGCTGAACTCGTAATCAGAGACTCATATAAGTTAGACTCTTACTCCAGGGTCAATACTTCCCGCTGTATGGTGATTAATCGGCGACGGTGTTAATCCTATGGAGAGACGACTAGCAGGCACAGAAATGTGGAATTTCCTCCACTGCAATCAAGAGCCGCAAATTGAAAATATTTCCCCCACCACCCCCTTTCCATAGCTTGTGTGAGTGCATCCACTTTGGACTTGGGTCTTGCATTGAACATCTGTAATTTGATTGGTAAACGCATCTTAATAACGAGTGTTAATACTCTCTGAGTTCAGTCTGATCCGAGTGGGGTGGCGCCTACTTAGTTTGTTTTGGAGATGAGGGTTAGCAGATCGGGTGGAATTTTGTCACCTCCAAGCCTGTTGTTGCTGTTGGGTCGCGAGGGCAACCAGCATATTGCAGTACCGCAAATGGGTTCATGACCCATCCATGTGCGATTGTTGAGTGCTATGCCCATCTGTGCGTCTGTGCGATGGGTTTTCTCCAGGTGCTTGTGTTTCCTCCCACACACGAAAAAACTTCTTAAAGTGAAATAAGCCTAAATGTCTCCCTGTGGCGTCTTCTCTCAAAGGCATCGTCGGCAATCACGACCTTCCTTCAGAGGTCGCAATCGGGTACAAGATACCCGTACCCTACCCGATACCCGGCTACCCGTACCCGACTGGGTACGGGTAGCCGGGTCGTGAGTCACTGGTGAGTAACCGTTTGTCACTCATTTCCCAACGTCTTGTCTCTTCTCACAATTCAAGTTTGTAGAATCAACCCACCCGTGCCTGCAATATGGCTTCATCCCAGAGGTCGCAATCGGATACCCGTACCCTACCCGATACCCGGCCAGGTACGGGTAGCTGGGTGTCGGGTAGGGTACGGGTACCCGATTGCGACCCTGGTGCGGCCGGGTACGGGTAAGGAATCAAAACCCGTTTGCGACCTCTCCCTTCCTTCCATTGAGCTCTCACCGTTATATTCGCCCAAGAACTTTCCATTTGATGCCTCAGTTGCATCCAAAATAGTTTTTTTTCGGTTAGATCGTGTAAATATATATGTGTCGTTAAACCCACCACCACCCGACAGCCATTTATTAAGGGTTGTCATGGAAACGTGCCAACAAAACATGGTCGCGAAAGCCTACGTGTTAAACAGTTGTGTCAAATTGTTAAACTTGCTTATGTACTTAATATACTGTCTTACCCAGCTTATTGGACCTAGAATTTCCTGGCCAAACATCCCAATGAAAGACCCTCCTTAAAAAAAACTCTTTAGACTAAGTGAGACTTTCCTGTTTACATAAGTGTCATTGTTATTACTTTCAGGATGGGCTGCTGCCTGGGATGTTTGGCCAATATTTTCATTATATCTATTTGAATTTTGATTTAAAGCTTTCGTGACTGCAGGGATTCATTTTCTTGGTTCTTTCGGTAAAGTCACGTAGAAGGGAACTCAATAAAATAATAAAAATATAAAACAATACAATTCTCACGACGTTTCGATTGCAACACAAGCAATCATCATCAGATGTGAAATCCACAGCAAGAAAATGTTTTTGTTTTATATTTTTATTATTTTATTGTTTTCCTTCTACGTGACTTTACCGAAAGAACCAAGAATATATATGTGTTTGCTTGCATGTATGAGCAATTCACCCAGAATGCATCTTAACCCATCGTATCTTGGAAGCTCACCCGGGTTCAGGCTGGATAGTGCTCGGATGAGGGACTTCCATGCCTTACACGCATTACAGGCTGTGGGGCTGCACAACAGAGTGCTGTGCACAGTGGCGAGATGTGAAGTTCCTCGCCTGGTATGCACGAAGTCATGGGTTCGATCCCCACCGTGAACCTTGTATATTTTTTGTTTGCATGTTTTTCCCATGGTCGCATTGATTTTTCTCCGGGTCTTCCAGTTTTTCCCCTCGACATTTATAAACCTGTGTTTAGGGTATTTGGTTGCTATAAATTTCAACATGATAGAGCTACATAGCTCAGTGGGCCTTACCTGGTAAAAAATAATATTTTAAATAATATAATGAAAAAAATGTGTATTTGCCTGCATGTATGAACAATATAAAAAAAAAATTTGTTCAGTGCAGCAAAATCCAATGTTATGCTGTGCATCTATTTTCCTACACCCATGTGCCAACCCACCTTCACAAACCCGCACGTACCGGCGAGGTGATGCATGAGCAAATAGGGCTCATTATCTGTACGGGATGGGGAAGGCCCCTCTTCCAGCTGTGCTCAGAATAATAATTTGCTTCGTTGTGGAAATAGATGAATAATAAACAAATAAATCGGTTAACAATGTCCCCTTTACATCTCAGTCTCTCCATCATTAAATTATTTCTTATGCAACCCATGAGCATCAAGGCCTTCTGGGAGTGCATAATTTCAACAGCATTGTGTCAGCCATTACATAACCCCCAAATCCAGACGCACGTGAAGACAAAGTCAGAGTCGTGTTGGAACGCGATGCGGGGGGGGGGGGGGCTCATCCGGCAGTGCATTTACACAGCGCTGTACATGTACGAGGGTGGATCATATTAAAGCCAGGACTGTTGCCAATGGAGACTGACAGATGCCATTTGATGACCAAACCCTTCCGCAGGCAGTGTAGGTGGATACTTTGAGAGAGGACCATCGTATTTTTGGATATCGAGGCTGTGCAGCGCAATAGAGAACGTTTGAGTGTGTGGGGTGCGGTAATTTAGCGGTTAGCGTGCTGTGCTGTGAACCCAGCGACCTGAGCTCAATTCCCGCTGACGGCGAACGCCACTGACGATTATCTGAACCAGTCCTGGGCCTACCTTAGGTCGACTCAGCCTTAAAAGAGTACCTAGTCGAATGTGTAAACATTGCCACTCAGGAGACAAAGGCGGCCGGGCGTGGTGCTGGCAAACCCACCTCCTCGTGTACCTTGCCGGCCTTCATAGGTGCTCGTGAACAGCACTTGCTCCAAAAGTCTGTTAAGGCTATAAGGGGGATTGTTGTCTTCGTGTGTGCACTGGGAAGACAAATATTGTGAGGCTTGGTTCCTTCGTGTGCTGCCTTTAAATAGGTGTTAGCTACCAGCACGTGCCTCAACAGTGGTCCTTTTCACGCCTCAACAGTGGTCCGATTAGCACGGTTAGCTTTGTACATTGCGACAGAAGTTCAACATACGTACAACAGTCTGTTTTACGGGAGATCTTTCTCTTTGTGTGTGTGTTCACTGGGGAAACAAAGGTGACCGGGGAATGGTGCCGGCTACTCACCCCCTCGTGTGCCGCGTGGCCCTTTAACGTTCTGACCCGCCCCCCACTGGACATCTGTGAAAAAGAGCATTACAGCTCATTCGATTCCTTCAGTATAAACAAATATTCTTATTCTGAGATAGGTGTTCGCTACCAGCACTTGCACCGACCAACAGTCTGTTTTAAAAGGCCACACGGGGGATCTTTTTTTCTTTGTCTGTTGCGTGCGTGCAGGACCAGCTGGACAATGTGGAGAAGCACACGGCGTGGGGGCTGGAGTTTGTCGACAAGCTGTCCAAGTTTGCGCGGGAGAAGGCGGATATAGAGCTGGCCTACGCCAAGCAGCTCCGGTGAGGTCCCCCGGGCAGGAGCCACGACCAGCCGCACAGTCATCGCGTCGCGCCATTGTCACTTTTATTTCCATCATTGTTGCTCACGTCCATTGACGTTAACGACTGCCATGTATGTCCCTATGTGTTGTTGAACTTCTTTCGCACCGTACGTAGCCAACCGTGCTAAGCGGAGGTGCGGTTCGGGGGGGGGACAATAAATTAAACATAAAAGCAGTCATTAAATAAATGAGGTTTCGATCTAGATTTAAAAGTGCGCGGCTCCAATGGCTTCCCAATGTCGGACGACGTACATTGAAATTCCTCGAAGACACTAGTGTAGCTGCCGTCCACACAAGAACATCAACAGGCCGATGTGTAGCCCACCTCCTTCATGAATGTAAAATCAAATACAAGCCACAGTAGTGCGATTATGGCCATGCAACCGTAACCACGCACTATATCGTAAAACCAGAAACACACACACAGACTTGTAGACATACATCGAGACATAGACACGGAGATACATGGAAACCCTTATAGATACATAGAGATATATTAACCCTTTCACGTTGAGATATCTGCAAGTTGCAGGGTGGGTGCCGTTCACCGCTGAATCTCGCAAGCGGGTCAGCGTTAATTTTATTTAGAGAGGCAATGCGCCGTTGTTTTCAAAGCCATTGCTACTCGCCGCAGAGAATCGTAGCGACATGACCACTGGCACCAAACTGTGCCACATGCCCTCCCGCATGGCCTTGCGAGAGCCTCGGTACCAATACAGTTATTTTATTTTAGTTTTTCATCCGGAATTAGAAGAAGAAGCTGATGACGTACACCTACGTCATCGGAATGGGAAAGGGTTCGAGACAAGCCACAGTAGTGAGATTGGCCATGTGACCCAAACGATGAATCGTCTCATAAACCCACCGTAATCTACGCTCTCGTGGTCAGCAGGACCTCGATGTTGGCATTTAGCTCCCTGAACGTATTGCTGCCATGCTCAAGAATGGAAGAGAATGATGATGATTAATATTCAAATGTTTCACCTGAACAATCCCTCACGACGGAACGTTTCATTTGCGAAGGGGTGTCCCCAGGGTATCTGTAGCCTTACTCTTGATAGTGAAGATGTTGCGATGCGTCTACGAATAATTAAGAGCCGTAACTTGAACGGAAAGCGTTCATTTGGCGAATATCACACCCCGGTGAAACACGCGACTGCATATACTGTATATGTAAATGATTGGATGGTGCAAACCTCGGATTCATGTAATTCTGATTGTTTTTTTTTATATGTGGCGTCGTTCATGCAAAACTGCATCTTGCAATGCTGTACAAGACAACAGAAATATATAAAATTAAATGCCACTCGCAAGCCACACAGCGCACCCAAACCAAGGTCAACTTGAAGGCCATAGTAAACAAAACTTTTAATGGGACTTCAATAGTGAAAGGAACTTAATTTGGCGAATGTGCAGTCGAAAATTGCAACCGAATGCACTCCAGCTGTAACGGTTTCAGTTGTGTGTGTTTTTTCTATTCAATACAATTACTTTTAATATTGCTCTCCTCAAGCTGCTGGCTTAATTATTTGTAAACGCTGTTGGTTTACTCTTCAACACACCGGTGTGTTTACATGACAAACCTTACTAATTGACTGACAAATAAGTTATTTAAAACTACTTTTTTTTTAAACATGCTTTAATGAAATGTACCGTACGAGTAATGGCAGAACTCCAGGAAGTGTCCCCGAAGCTTGGCATAGCGCAAGGGGCCGTGGTGGTTTACAGCCAACGTCAGTTGAGCGTGGACAATTAGAGCCAAGCAGAAACATAACATATAAAAAAATATTGTTTTAAAAATATATTTGTTTTATTTTTAGTGATAGAATATAGTTTCGTCCCCAGTATGACATAAGTATACCAAATTTGCAGTCGACAGCACATTGGGAAGTGGGTAAAAATTGAGTTACAATATTTTTTGAGGATACGACAACAGACAGAGTGAGTTAAATAAAAGCGTTTAATCAGATCGATTATGGACAATAATTTCTCCCTCTAAATTGATTGTGGAAGAAGTTTAGTTTGTTTTTATCGCAAATACAAATCATCATCCAGAACATTCTAAACAATTGTCGTCTGAATACACACACGCGGAAAAAGGGGTGATAGTGTTTACGGTTTGTTTAGTTTGTTAATTTGATCGGAGGGTAATGCGTTACTTCTCCCCAACACTGTGTGTTGTGTCCTCCCCACTGGCAATGTGTGTGCACCTGAATATAGAAGCGACCTGGCAATCACAAATGATAGCTCAACGAAGTAGCTTATCACGTGGAAATGTACAGCAGCCCAAATACTTTGAATGCATGTTGATCCTGAATGTGGAGGAACGGCAGAAAAATCCACGCCAACACGGAGAGAGAGAACATGCCAACTTCAAATATACAAGTGTCAGGGTTGGGATCGCACCTACGACCTCTTGTGAACCAGGCGAGGTAGTTAACATCTCGCCACCGAGGCACTTTGTGTCTGTATCTATTGTCATGTGTCTGTGTCTCCAAGTAAGGGCCTGCGTCTCTTGGCATCTCTGTTTACCTCTGTATGTCCATGTGTAAATTGATGTGTGTGTCTGCCTGTCAGTGTAACAGTTAGCGTGCTGTGATACGAACCCGGCGACCTGAGTTTAGATCCCACAACCAACATCAGAGGGCGATTATCTGGACCTGTTTCTGGTTCCTCCCTGGGTAGCCGTAGTCTTAAAGGAACACCTGCTGCGATGCGTGTACATACATCAGTATTGGGGAGACAAAGGCGGCCTGGTTTGATGCTGGCCACAAGGTCCTTAAGTAGACCATGGCCCCCATTAATAGGTGCCCGCCAAAATAATTTGCCCCAACAGCCCGCATAAGCTATATGGGGAATGTCTGCATTTTGCATGTTTAATGTCTGTGTGTATATATGTCTGTGGGTGTTTTTTATTGGGGGAGCGGAGGCGCAGTTGTTAGCGTGCTGCTCTACGAACCCGGCCACCCGAGTTCGATTCTCACTCGCGACCAATAACGGCGAAGAACATTTGAACTGGTCCTGAAGCTCCCCTCGGTCAATTCAGCCTCGTATGACGATGTGGTGTGGTGTGTAAACTTTGGCACTGGGGAGACAAAGGCGTCCGGGCATGATGTTGGCCACCCACTCCGTTGTATGCCGTGCTGTCCTTGAAAGGTCCTCACTAACTTCACTTTCCCCACAATCTGTCCAAGGCTACATGAGGTCCCTGTCTTTATTTTTGTATTACTTTGTCTGTCTGTGTGCGTGCGTGCATGTGTCTGGGGAGCGGTAGTGTAGCGGTTGGCGCGCTGCGGTGCGCTACTAACCCGGCGACCCGAGTTGGATTCCTGCTCACGGCCAACACCAGTGACGAATATCTGAACCGGTCCTGAACCTCCCCTAGGTCGACTCAGCCTCACATAAGTACCTGGCGTGGTGTGTAAATATCGCTACAGGGGAGACAAAGGCGGCCAGGCGGCGTGTTGGCCACCCACCCCGTCATGTGCCATGCCGGCCTTCGTAGGTCCTCACTAACTTCGCTTGCCCCACAATCTGTCCAAGGCTATACGGGGGCTCTGTCTCTTTGTTTATGTTCTACGTCTGTCTGTGTGTGTGTACGTGCGTGTCTCTTTGTGTGTGTGGACATGTCTGCGTTCCACGTTGTCGTCAACGTCGGCGCCGCCGCCCGCTCGTTTGAAGCTGTAGGGGTTCGGCAAGGGAGGAGGATGTCCATTTGTTGAACTCCAGTTGTCTCCCCATACCCACCCCTCCCCCCCTTCCTCGCTGCACTCACTGGCGCACAAGTTTGACTGAACCCGGGTCAGGGGCGCTGCAAACATCCGTTCCGTCTCGAACAATAAGATCCGGAGCTCCATAATTCAACGTGTCCATTGTTCCTAATGAGACTGCTCTCTTTAGCGTGCCGTTATTAACAAATGTCATCCTTGTTGTTGTTGGTGTTTCAGGCTTCTAATCGCTGCTGTCCATTGTGTAAGGGTTACGTCTGACTAAATTATAACTCCGCGCTGCGGCCCAACACGCGTGAGCTGCGTCTTGTTGCTGGGTTTAATAGGCGCTCGCTAACTCTTAATAATAATAAAAAAACTCAACACATTCGTTAATAATGCTCCATAAAATTAAATATAAATACATCTATATTACTCGATGTTTTAGGCCATGGCTCTTCTTCATAGCACGTAAAGTTACTCTGAGCAGTGTGTGCAGTCCAAATTGAGTAATTGTGTGTGTGTCTGTATCCCCAGTTGGGAGCGGTGGCGCAGTGGTTAGCGCACTGCCCTGCAAAGCCAGCAACTCGAGTTTGATTACCCGATCATGACCAATCATAGTGGCGGATGTTTGAACTGGTCCTGTGCCTCCTCTAGGTCGACACAACCTGAAATGAATACCTGACGTGGTTGTGTAGGCATCGGCACTGGAGAGGTGTGGTGTTGGCCACCCACCTCCACGTGTGCGCGGTGTCTGCCTTCATACGTGTCAAAGTCTATATAGGGTGGAGCTTTGTCTTTGTATCTCTCTGCATGTTTGTTGTTGTACTTGTAGGTGCATGTGTCCATGCGGGTCTCTGTGTAAATGTGAGCACGTGTCTCTGAGTGTGTGTGTGATTTATTTTATACCTACGTGGCTTTACCGAAAGAACCAAAGAGTATGTGTGCATATGTTTGTGTCTATGTGTATGTGAGGAGTTGGTAGTGTAGCGGTTAGCGCGCTGCGCACCGAACCTGGCGATCCGAGTTCGAATCTCGCTCACGGCCAACACCAGTGGCGATTATCAGAACCGGTCCTGGGCCTCCCTTAGGTCGACTCAGCCTCAAATGAGTACCTGGTGCGGTGCTTGTACACATCGCCACTGGGGAGACAAAGGCGGCCGGGTGTGGTGTTGGCCACCCACCCCCTCGTGTGCCGTGCCGACCTTCATATGTGCTCGTTAACAGCACTTGCCCCAACAGTGTTTTAAGG